GGGTTGGTTTTTATGTTGGGGAGGGGGGGTAGGTTTGGGATGAAATGCAGTAAATGAAGGACAGTACCTGTATATTTTGTACACACACTGACTGAGCACAGCCTTTTGCTGTCACTGTTTCCTTTGTATATAGCTCAGCTGCGGCACTGGCATACCTAAAATCAGCTCTCTACCATCTCCATGATGCAACAGGACAGTACCTCCTCCCTTGCGCTCTGATCTCTGCTTCTGTCTGGCTCCCACCCTTGCCCAAACCAAGCTGTTCTCCCCAGCAAAAGTGGGTTAGCTTCTCTTCCAGGGGCTGCTGCCCCTTCTCTAGGCCTTCCCAGGGAATGGTCTGGGAATGTGGTGGCAGACTCAAGGCCCCCTGACTGCCTTGCAACTAATGCTCGCTCCTTGGGGCTCACGTGGAAGGACCTGAATGACTGGGCTTCTCCCTCCTGTTCAGAGGCAGAGGCTTGGGCTGTGCTGCTAAGGATGTGGTACCCACCCCTTTGGAAACCTGCTCCTAGTCGGTCTGTCCTGGCCAGCTGCAAGCAAGATTCCAGCCCTTGCAGGTGGATGACCTGGCCCAGAATCCCCAGGTAGCACAGCATGGAGCTCCCCTTACACCCTGCTACTTGTCCCAGAGCTTGTCCTCCCAGGGCTACAGCTGATGCTAGGCTGAGCAAGTGCCCAGCTCTGCAGCCATCTTGTCACTTAGGGACCACATGGGGATGTGCTGGGCTGAAGGAGAGAGGTCAAAGTTAGCAATTATTTGAGGGAGTCCCCGGGGCAAGGTCAGCACCTGCTGGGTTCTGCCAGACACCTGCAGGTGCTGAAACTAGGGACAGTAATCTTTGAGCTCCTCAAACATAAATCCCAGCTGCTGCAGACCCCTGGGCTCTTCTGCACAATGTCCTGACTAGTGCCAAAGCTCTGGACTGGACAGTTGTGCCAAACCCATAGTGAGTGGTAACAGGTTCCTGGGGCCCAGTGCAAGGGGTGCTGGAGTCGCTGGCTCCAGTGAGAAGACTGAGAGTCCCCCAGTGGAGGATGAGGAGCCTGGTTCTTGGTCCTGGGCTGTATGGGGCCAGTGCCTGGGCCAGAGGAGTGGAACCGTCTGCTATGGACTCTGCTGGGAGAAGACCCAGGAGTGAGTGATGAGCCATGGCTCACAGGCCCTGGCTGCTTATACATGTCCCTACCCTTCTCATAGAGGTCTGTGTCTGTTCCTGCTGCCTCAGGCTGTGGCAGGGGGTTCCTTACATACAGGTCACTGATGGCCTCAGTTTGTCCCCAGGCCACACAGTGGGTTGCCACAATAGGGTGCTGTTGCTGGGCAGAGCCTGGGTTGGACCCCAAGAGCAGGTTCCCATTAGACACGTGGTGATGGAGTTGGGATGTCGTGCATAGGAGGGCAGGGTACCTTGGCCTGCACAAACCAGCACCACAGAGACACCAGGGCTGACTGCCTCACAGGGGATTCCTGTCACTGCTGGATCACAGCCAGTTACTTTGATGCAGTGGGAGATCAGCCCCAAGCCTTCATGGATGAGCAGCAAGGTTCCATTGCTCCTCCCTCCCGGAATACGTGGAGCCTTCCTGCCTGCCGCAGCCCAGGAGCTGGAGGATTCCAGGCCACAGTCTGGGCCAGAGGAGCTTGGGGGACTGAGGCCATCACAGCCTGCAGGGTGAGGGAGCCCCTGCACTAGAGGCAGCCTAGTGTGGATTGCAGCTGGGCCTCTGCATTTCCCCAGTTTGTGTGCCAGTGCCGCAGCCTTGTTTGTGCCCTTGCACCCATGATGATCATGTTGCTCAGTGCCGTGGCCTTGCCGTGTGCCTTGTCCCTGCTTTCAGTGCTGTGGGGAGCTTCCCTGCACCTGGTGTTGGCCCAGCTGTGTTCTGGGGGTGCTGTGGGAGCAAGGGCAGCCTCAGGTCCCCCCTTGCCCATATCAGTCCTGTGGACATGGCCACTGCTTGCTGCCTCTTCTGTGTCTCAGCACCCTCCTTCCCAGTGAGATGGTGCCAAGGCTGCCCCTCTGAGCCAGAGCACAGAGCTGCCCATCTCCACAGTGGCAGAGGGGCGCTGCAGGCTTCTGCCAGCCAGGATCCTGTTATTTCTATATTTATAGTAATAAATCCATGCAGCCACACACTCTGTTGTGCTTTCATTGGGTGTTCTCTAGTGTCAAACAAAGCAGGCAGCCCGTCATATTCACAGAACACTGCTCAGAGCACCTTGTGCCTGTGAGACTCACAAAACAAATGCCCCACAGAGGTGCCGGCACATCAGGGAACCCTCACTGTGCTAGCCACAGGGCACTGGCACCACTTCCTCTGGCAGTAACGGCAGAATCCTAGTGCCACTGGGAACCAGAGAGCAGCCTAGTTTCTCACTGCAGTATCCTGGATGTCAGGACCCAAGTTATCTTTATATTTTCAGAGTCCCTGTTGCACGTCAGAGACTGTGCCCACAATGCCGCCCATCCCCCATGTATTGGAGTCAAACACTAGCTCCTGCCTCAGTTTCTCTCTACCACTTCCCAGTGCCTTTCTGTCATGTCTCTGGGTTGGCACTAGTGTGGTGGTGGGCCTGGCCACCAGGGGGCACAGTGTCTGCATGCATGAAAGACTACTGGACTGGCTTTTATTCCTGTGGGGGAAGCTCTGGGTTTGCCCTGTTGACAGGCAGTGAGGTAGAGCTCAAGAAGTGCTTCTTTAAGGTGATCAGACTCTGGAATATGGCATCAGGGCTGACATCTGAAGCTGTGGTTTGTGGGCATTCGGCCCTGCCCAGCCAGCACTGTCCTATACAGAGCTGGCAGGACCATGGTCTTTCAGAGGGCAGGCAAGCTACTTGGCCAGTGCATACACGTAAAGGACTATGTTCACACAAGGCTTGGGAACAAGCCAAGTCCCAGTGGTTCCAAAATATTGGCTTTGTGCTGGGATCTGGGACATGCTATATCTCCCTCTGAACCTGGAGGTCTGTGTTGGCTCTAGAAGCAGCGCAGAATATCACAGCAGCAGCTCCAACGCTATCTGCCCATGCTCTGTCTTAGGTTGGGTGGACAAACAGCTCTGTCCTGTGGATTCAAGGTCAAACTGGTGCTTAGAGCTGGGCTAGTATGAGAAAAAAGTTGCTTCATTAAAAACAGAACCAGCTGGGACTAGTTGGTTCTCTGTGGAGTAGGGTCACTGCACAGGGGATAAACATGCTCAGTGCATGGCCCAGACACCCTGCTGAGGCAGAATTGGGACCTGAGATGAGGCACACTCAGTACATGGAACTAGCACACCAGTGCTGATGCAACAGGAGGAGGGGCAGGTGGAGCAGTTCATGAATTTGGACATAGTGTCTCAGGCTGGGTTCATCTCATGAGTAGGATACAGCACTTGGCAAGCACATTTCCATGGGGTGAAGGGGGCTCCCTGCTCCTTTCCTGGCATCCCAGGCTGCAGATGCTGTGCAGAAACCTGTCCTGCTAGGTCTAAACTAGGAGCAGGCACTTGGCCCTTTCCTATCTTCTGATTTCTTTAGCATCTCCAAGTTTCTGGGGCAAAGAAGCCAGAACCCATATGCAAGTGGAGGAGAGCTCATAATAATGGAAGGTGAGGGGATGAATGGAGGGGCAGGAGAGGCTGGAGCAATGTTGTGTCACAACAGTGGGAGATCCTGGGGGTCAGGGAGGTGGGAGGGAATGTGGTGGGCTAGAGAGCCAAGAGAGAATGTGAAGCCCGGTGGAAACACTGCCTCCTTGAGCGTCCACTGTGGAGCAAAAGTCACACAGACTCAAGTCTCCAGTCTTTCTACAACCTCTTGCAAGGAAGAGCTTGTCCACCAGGCTCCTTCCCCTAGTACAGTGATTCTCAACAAGGGTGCTGTAGTGCCTTGGGGTGCTGTGTGGTCCTTTGAAAGGTGCAGCAAGGTGTGAGCAAGTAAGCAGATAAGTGCTGGGTCAGGCTTGTCCCTTTCTAACCATTCCCTTGCCCCACTGCCTGGCCCCTCTGCAGAGGCCCTATAATACATAAATTAGTGTTTGGAATTGGTTGCCTTGAGTCCAGCAAGGATGAGAACTGCTGCCGTAGTCATCACATCCCATTAACACCCCAGGTGCCTGCTGGTATCTCCCACAATTCCTCCTTGGGTGGAGAGCATGCCCCAAGCACTTCCATGGCCATGGCACTCAGGGTGGCCTTGTGACAGACTGGGCTGCAGGAGACCTACCTGTTGGCCACAGCCTGTCTTGTGGCCAGTGCTGCCTGATGCTGCTCCCTTGCCTTGTGTTACCAGGTTGAGGAGCCACCCTGGTGAGCAGGGTGCAGAGGTGCTGCCTCCTGCATTCATTAAAGGAGGCAGCACCACATTCATAGGGTTAGCATGCCCCCCACCAGGCCTTTTCCTGTGCATGCAGGGACAAAACTTACCTTGAGAGGAGGAGCAGGTTCTCAGTGGCCCAAGGCTTGGCCAAGGTCATCAAGGGGAACCCAAGGCTAGGGCTTAGAACCCACTTTGTACCACCCAAGCCCACAAGCACCCTCCTCCCAAGCACACCTTGACCCCTGGGGACAAGTGTGCCCTGCGTTCTGGTGCACTTGCTGGCATGGTGCTATCTACCTCAGCTGTCCTCCTGGTCCTTGTGTTGACCTCAGGCAGTTCAGTCTGTCCTGCTCCATCCCCACTGTACAGTACCCAGCAAAACAATGAGAGGAGGGGCTGCTACTGGAACTCAGCACAGCTTTGGATTCACTCCAGCAGGGCAGGTCTCAGCTTGCCTGCGTGCACACTAAGTTCAAGGGAGCAAAACTGGTGCAAGGTCAGTGTTGGGGTAGGGGCAGCAGCAAAAGGGACAGCTTCCCTAAGACCCTGGTCTTGCACCCCTAGAGTGGGGCAAGGCAGCCTTCCCTTTAGACATCAGCCTCTTCCTGCTGTTGTCTTCAGTGCCAGGCTGGGCCTAGGGTATGGGGATGCAGCCCACTCTTGCTGGTTACTGCATTCCTTGCTGCCCCAGACCAGCGCCTGCCCCAGCACACCCTGTGCCTCGGCTGGAAGGTCCCAGGCACCTCTGACCATCAGGGAAAGGAGAGGAAACAGCCTAGAATAAACCAGCCCTTTCATTGGTGCCCCAGAGATTCCAGTGGCCTGGCGCTGCGCAGTGCCGGCAGGGGCAGAGCTCAGACAGAACTTTGCCCTGCTCTGGCCAGGGGCCCCCATGGCTTCAAGTGAAGTTAGTGAGCCTCACAGCCCCACTGGGACACCAAAGTGGAGAGTGGCTGGGCTCCTACACCCTGGGCTGGTCATGCTAAGGTTGCTCTTGGGCTCTAGGTCCTTAAGCACAGCTCAGCAGGGTTTGGGGCTGTCTGGGCTGCAAGGTCATCTCATAGAAACACAAAGGAACATGTGGGGAAGCCTGTGGCCCCTGATACAGACATGGCTGCTCTGCCCTTGTGTGGCAGGAATGACTCAGCAGGCCCTAGCAGCCTCACAAAGGAGGCCCAGGCCAGGGCCAGGAACCCCCGCTGCACATGGCTTGGGCAGGGAACATAGGTGGTGGAAGGCCAGAGCTAATGGGCTCTGGGTGGCTGCAGCAGGGGTGGGGAGGGGCACACATGCAGCCAGGATCACAGCCTGGTGTGGGGATCACTGGCTGCCCAGCACAGCAGGCAAATATCAATCTATTCTGTGAAGGGGAAGGGGCTGGGGGGAGGGGGCAGGTTGAGACCCTGTCAATGAGGAAGGGAGCGGGGCACAGGCAGGGGCTGAGGTGAATGGGACTCCAACCAGGCCAGGTGGTGAGACAGTCAGAGCCTGGGTAACTCATCCAGGGGCACGGGGGGCTCCCACCGTTGCATGCACCCTGGCAGAGACCTGGGGAGCATGTGCCCCCCCATCTGTGTGTGGGGCGGAGGCAACTGGTGCTGCACACTGCACTTGCTCCCTGTGGCAGCTGCCCTGGGCTCAATGTGCCTGCTGCACCTGGGCTGTGCCATGCCCCCTGCCCGCCCATCAGAGGGACGCACGTAGCATTGCATGGCTCTCAGGACAGCTGCAGCAGGGAGCATGCAGTAGCAGCTGCATCTGCCCCGTGCGCAGAACAGGGGTGGGGGGGCATGTGTGCCCTAGGCCTCCACCAGGGCAGAGTGTGCAGTGGTGGGAGCCCTCTGCGCCCCTGGATGAGCCGCCCGGGATCCAATTGTCCCACCACCCAGCCCAGCTGGGGCCCCAGTCACCCCAGCCCCTGCCCCTACCCCTGCCCCTGCCCCTGCATGTGCTTTGCTCCCTCCCTCACCACTGGGGCCTTGATCTAAACCCCTCTCCCCCATTGCCTTTTCCTCTCCCCTTGCTCCTTCTCCACTGGCTTACCTGTGGGGTGAGGCACTTTGCACGCATGTGCACATGCGCCCAGCCCCCCCCCACCAAATAATTTTTTCTCCCTATGCCAGGGAAGTAAACAGCCATGACACCCCTGTGCTGGCTGTTGGGGCCAGGTGAGGGGCCCTGGCTGGGCTGGCTCTTCCACCTGGCTGAGTACAGTAGGGTAGAGCGAGGTATGTGTGTAGCTGCTTGGCACAGGACAGGACACATCCCCTTTTCCCCAGTGCCAGGTAAGATTTTGCTGTTCTCTCCAGTTTCCCTCCCTTTGCTGTCCCAGGGCTTCCTCTTGCCCCTGCACCAGCAGGGACATGACACATCTGGGCACCTGGGACAACCACTCCAGGTGTTCCCCATCGCCACTATGTGGTTACCAGCGGCAGCCATTTTTTTGCCACCACCCTAGAGTGGCTGCCCCCATTGCTGTACCCTACTTATACTACTGCACTGAACACAGCACTGAGCATGGAGTCACTGCTTTCCTCTCCAAAGCCCCCAGCAAGGGGCAGAACTTCAATTGCTTCCCAGAGACTGGAGCTACTGCCCTTGGGTGACCCACAATCAGTAGGAAGCCAGGCCAGGGCTGGGGGACAGGCAAGAGGCCCAGAGTTCATATTGCGGCCCTTTCCCTGCTGCAGAGAGCACTTGGGGCCAGGGCATAATGTTGGTTCGCTACTTATCTGCCAAGCCCACAGCAAAGGAACCTCCCTGGCCTGGCCTGGCCTGGCTGAGAGAGCCTGCTCATCCAGTCTGTGACTTCGGCCTGCGTGAGAAGACA